GAGTCTCTCATGTACTGCTACGCCCCTGGCTTCCTCTGGTGGAGCCTGAGGACCCCCAGGAAAGTCCTGGGAGGTGGGGTCTGACAGGCAGAGGTGGGGAGGGTGGGTGCAGGTGAGCAGCTTGCCCTAACTGAAGGTCCCATGGGGTGCAAAGACCCCTTTCCTCATAAAGGTGAGTGGCCAAGGTGCTGCTGCCCTCTGCTGGCTGCCCAGGAATAAATGGACAGCAGGGCCAACAGGGCTGGACAGCGCTGTGGGGCTCCCTGCTGGTCTGTCAGACACCCAGACCCTGGGAGCCGGGGGAACCTCACGAAGGGAAACTGAAGTCTAGAGACAAGACAAGACAAGACAGGGGACTTTCTTTTTTTTCCTTTTTTTTTAGAGACAGAGTCTCACTGTATCGCCTGGGCTTAGATTTTCTTGCCTCAGACTCCTGAGTAGCTGGGACTACAGGCACCAACCACAACGCCCGGCTGTTTTTTTGTTGCAGTTTGGCCTGGACTGGGTTTGAACCCTCGGTATGTGGGGCCGGCGCCCTACTCACTGAGCCACAGGCGCCGCCCAAGACTTTCTTGAAGTCATGTGACAAATTACATTAGTCCCATCAAGGGACTGTGTTGTGCTGAAATACGGTCATCCAGTGGCCACAGGAGAACAGGCTGTCTCGGGGAAACTGGGGAAGGGGTTTCTGTTCTAGCAGGGGTAGGACCTGACAAGCTTCTCTGATGCTGACATCCCCCGAAGCTGGGGGGATCCTCCCTGGAGAGATGAGGGTGAGGGCAGCTAATGTGGACCTGCTCTCCCCTGGACCTCTCTCCTGCCCATCCCTCCACTCTTGTGCACCAGCCGCTTGAGTGTATCACAGGAGTGTTCCACCTCAAGGGAAGAATGCACAAGTCCAGAGGGCCCCCGAGAGGTGCTTGGCCCTGCTGCCTATGTGGTCAGGAGGCACCCAGGAAGAGGAAATGGGGGCCCAGGGCTCTGGACAGCACTGTGGGGCTCCTGTACTATGTTCTGAAGTCCTGGGGAATGAAGGGAGGTGGGGCAGGGCCCCACTTGGGTCCAGAGCCTGTCATTTTAATTGTCCCTGAGCTACTTAGAAGCCAGTATGGCAAAAAATGTGTCCATTTGCTACCCAAGGCTAAGTGGTTTTTAATTTATATCCTCAAAGTAAGCCAGATCCAGAGGAATTGGAATTTGCTCCCAGAGGTCACCTAGGGGATCGCAGCAACCTGGAACACTCAGGCTGCCACCTGAATGGGGAGAGGGTGTGTGCGTATGCGTGCTAGGGAGGGGAAGTCAGCTGCTTTGCCCTGCCAAGGTGCCTCAGAATCTCTGCCTTGCCCCATCTTTTTCCTTCTCATGGGGCAGGGCTGACGTTGAGGATGCCCAGGGAAGGGGGGACCTGGCAACAAGACCCAGAGGCTTCTAGAGGGGTCAGTGGCATCAGTCCCAAACTGGGTAAGCTGCTTCCCATCTTGTTGCCTTGTTTATAAAATGGGGATGGTAATCAGCTTACACCTGTAATCCCAGCACTTTGGGAGGCTAAGGCAGGAGGATGGTTTGAGGCCAGGAATTCAAGATCAGACTGGGCAATATAGTAAGACACTACCTCTACAAAAAATATCACAAATTAGCTAGACATAGTGGTGTGTACCTGTAGTCCCAGCTACTTGGGAGGCTGAGGCAGGAGGATCACTTGAGACTAAGAGCTTGAGGTTACAGTGAGCTATGATGATGCCACTGTTCTTCAGCCTAGGTGACAGAGCAAGACCCAGCCTACTGTGAAGGTTCTTCATAAGGATCCAAAAAAGTGCTCAGGAAAATACCTTGGGCACCAGGGGTGTCTTCTATGACCAACCCCACTTGACCCTTTCTGCCACTGACTACTAATCTCTAAGGCACAGGTGGACTCAGGTCTCTGCTGCTAAGACTGGTGGGTCAAGTGTCCCTTTCTGACTAAGCAGCAGGCTGGAGGGGCAGCGGTGGGGGGCAAAAGCTGGCTATTCCACCAACTGTGTGCCAGCCGTTGGGCCCAAGAGAGCTGGCACTGTGTCTCTGTGCAGTCCCCCACCCTGAGAGCCCTGGTCTCTCTGTCCAGTCAGATCGTACTGGTCAAATTTCCCATCGCTGCTCCCCACACCAACCCATATCCTATCACTCTCCTGCTTATAGCCCTGGAAGTGCTCCTCACTGCCCTTCAAATAATATTCAGTTATGTCCAAATTCTGCTCGCAGGGCCTGCAGGCCTTGTATTAGCTGCTCTCGGCTTCCTTCTGTCTCATCTTATATCTTCTTCCTTTCCTAGGCTGCAGCCACCTGAGCCTTCCTTCCACTCCTTGGGCAGATCAAGCCCCAGAGCCTTTGTACTAGCAGTTCCCTCTGCCTGGAACATACTTCTCTCTCATCCTTCCAAGGAGGTCACATCCTCAGGAGACTTTCCTGACTAATACTCTGCCCTCTCCCCCAGGTCCCTGCTGTGTATCTTTATTTGTTCCTTGACAGAGATCCCTTGGTGTCCAGCACAGGCCTGGCCCACCGCAGGGACCCAGTAATAACTGCTGAATGAATGAATGGACAACAGGGCTAAAGCAGGGCCAGTTACTGGCTCAGGCCATTGTCCATTTCAATGTCAAGCCCCCTGTCTTAGGCAGGGTCAGGATGGGGGGAGTGTGCCGCGAATCGTGGCAGCCTGCCTGGCCACACACCATGCATGGTTCCCACCTCCTTCTCCTACAGCTGCCAGCAGCTGGGGTGGGAGTGAGGGAGCCTCTAGTAACATCTGTCCCGGCCCACAGGGCTTAGCCTGGAACCAGGATCCTACAAAGAGGATTAAGGCAGCTGGGGGAGGGAGAAGGGAACCCAAGCTGAAGGATGAGGAAGTCTGGGCAGTACAGGGGGCTGCTTGATTTGGCCTGGTGGCCCTGAGGGAGCCAGGTGGTGTCACCTTCTGACAAGACCCTGGACGGGTCTTGGCTGCATCCCTGTCCAGCATTCCTCTCTAGAGAAAGGCTGTGTGACCTTGGGACATTAGTTACAGTAAGTCTCAGTGTCCTCTATAAAGTGGGGGAAGGTGACCAGATCAGGCTGACAGGGTCAATTCAGGAAGAGGGAATATACTGTGGGCCGGCTCTGCATCAGGCACAGACAGGAGCTTTGTAATGACGGCCTGTGTCATCATCATTTCTTCTGCTCCAGGCCAGGGCCACTTGGGGCCTTTTGTTTCCCTGCTCTCTGGAGCTTTTAGGAAACATGGTACCCTTGGACTACGCCCAGTGTTCCTGCCTGGCCAGGCAACCTTCTTGATCTCTCCCCTCTTCCAGCCGTGGGAGAGGCGGGCTCTCCAGCAATCTGTTTACCCACCTGCCTTTCAAAGCTGACACAGGGCCTTCTTAGCAGCTGCCCTCACTGGCCACCAAAGCACCCTCACACTTATGGATAGAGGCCACATGGCTGGGGACATCCACACTCCATGAGCATGTGGCTCTGCTGGCTGGCAAGCTGCTTACCCTGGCAGATCATGCCACAGCTCTGGGCCTGGCTTCTGCCCAGCTCATATCCTAGATCCTTGCCCAGTTCTCTGGGCTTTTGCACATGCTGTTCCACATTCCTGGAATGCTCTCATGATCCTCAGCTGCTTGGCAGACTCCTACATACGTGTAGTGGCCCCTTTTCTCAGTTTTCCATGATAGGTCTCACCTCCTGGCCAACTAAGGATTCTCTTCTCTGTGCTGTCTTCACTCTGTGTGCTGTTTCCCTGGTCTTCTCTTACACACCTGTCTCCCCTCACTGAAGAGGAGACCAGGCTTGGTAAAGCCTTGTTCATCTTTGGTTTCCCTGGACTTAGCAGGAAGGAATCACACCTGATAAAAGAGGGGTCACTCCATGCTTATTTGGCTGGCTGGCTGGCTGCAGCAGGGGCTCAGCGAACGCGTCCATGAGTGTGTGAGTGGATGAAGACTAGAAAAGGGCTCCATCAATGTCTGCTAAATGAATGAATGACTGGATAAAAGGATGGCTGAAAACCCTTTCGGAGTCTCTCTGCTTTGTTTATCTTGGAACACTGACTCCCAAAGTGAGCCCTGTGTCATTCTCATCCAGTGTGGGGAACCCACACAATCCTTGGGGACTGTGTCTCCTCATCAGAACGAGGTCCCTGACAGGGTGTGACTGTCGGGGGGGTGGAGGGCACACAGAGCAGGGCCACCCCCTCTGCCATTGATGTCTTCCCAGCTCTCACTCTCCCATGTCTGGTGGCCCCCTGACACCTGGACAGTCACACCAGCCATCCTCCATGGGCACAAGCTCAGGCGGAAGGTTGAGGACTCACCGTTAAACAGCCCATCAGGCTCTGCTCGAAGGGCCGCTGGAAGGCTCTTGGGTCTCCGCACCAGTCCAGCAGCTCCGTGGCAGCATTATGGAAGTTGGCAGGATTCTGTAAGTGCTGTGAGAAAGGAAAAGGAGGCAGCTGAGGCTCCAGGAATGAGGTTGGCACAGGCAGTGTGGGGAGTCTGGGGCAGGGAAGACCTCAGCTTCACCAGGGAGAGAAGAGTCACAGAAAGTGGCAAAGCGGATCAATAAGCTTCCTCACACTCCCTCCCCTCCACCTGCTCTTGGCATGTCCTTCCTACCCTCAGCCCATTCCCAGCAGTATGGAGATTAGGGTTTCATTGCAAAGATGGGAAAACCAAGGTCTAGGGAGAAGGCCAATGATAATCAGATAGTAAAGTGGTTTCTGGATGCTGGTGGTGCGGGGAGGTGAATCCTGCAGGGCTCTGGATGGTGGCATCTGGCTCACATACTTGGAGGCTGGTTCTCCATGAGTGAGGACAGGCTGGCCCAGAAGGTTCCTTCCTCATTAACCTCCATCAGCAAAGCCCAAGTCTGGACTCCCACCAGCTCTGGCTTCAGAGCAAGTTCTGCCTTAGCTAAATAGGGTGGGGAGCTGGGGGAGGCCACACCCAGCTGGGAAGGTGCACTGTAACACACAGTACCTGGACGGTTGTCACACTGGGGTCTGGTGTGTGGGGCTTGGTGCCCTATGGTCTGGTTCAACTGGCATGGTTAGAAAGGGTCTGGGTAAGGAGGGACTGAATTCTGGCGCCAGGGTGCCCAGGACTCTGGATCCTGCTTTAACCCAGGCCACAAGGCTGGCAAGGGTGGGGAAGGGTGGAGGGGTGGCTTTTGTGGCCTCCATTCAAAACACTTACTCTTCAAGACTCATCCATCTTCCCAGGCTCTCTAAGACTTGATATATATGAGTTGGATATATACAACTTGGCCAGAGACAGGGAGCCGGTTAGAGGCAAAGCTAGGATTCTGAGGTGGGACTTTGGCCAAATAGTGGTATGGCTGGTTGTGTCCTCTAGGGGGGCTCCTGGGGGGCATCCACAAGGGTCAACATGAGAGCCAAGCTGCATAGCTGCAGAGATGGTGGCACCTCCTGAGGACCCCACCTACTTTGGTTCTGGGAGAGATAGCAGCACAGCAGTCCAGAGTGGGTGGTCCTGCCATGCCCCCTGCAGTGAGAGCCTGCCCCAGAGCCAGGCCAGGTAGGCCTTAGAATTGGGAGGGGAACAGAGTGCACTGTGGGAGCCCCTGTGGGGCAGGTGCCCCGGAGTCACATTTTGCTTTCACCCCTGCAAGTCTCTAACCTAGCATGATCCCCTCACCCCCTCAAGCTTAGTGGCCCCATCTGTAAAATGGCAGTGCAGTGGTGAGGAAGTTGTTTCGTTTTCTTAGGTTTTCATGACTGTTGCTGCAATGAAGTTTGTGCAAGGCAAGGTTAAGAAAATGGATGAAAGAAGATGAAATGAATTAGAATATCCTCCTTCCATGGCAGTAAAGGAGGACAGAGGGCAAGCAAGGAACAACGAGCCTGCCAACATGGGGTGTGGGGAGGATTCAACAAGATGAGGCTTATATGGCCCCTGGCAAAGCGCTTGGCACATGGGGTGCTCTCCCAAATGTGTCCCTGGAACCACAGCTGCTGGCAGCAGCACTCAGCCCTATCTGCAAGGGCAGCACTCCCTGCCTTAGAGCAAGATAGAAGGAACTTCTCCGACAGAAGCAAGCCCTTGGAGGTGGCAGTAGTGGGTCTCACCTCTGCCTCTTCTGCCTTCTGTCTAAAACATGCCTGGCAGAGGCTGCGGGTGACATCTGGGCTCCACGTGGAAAGCTGTGCTGCCCAGCAGCCTCCCCTGCTAACCAAGTTGTTCCATTTACTTACATGATGTCACACCCGATTAGCAGGGTCAGCAGCCTCCCTGTGTGTGTGCAGCTCCCACAGCTGCCTGCCCACACTTGGCCACAACACCCTCCTCTGGGGCTCTGGGTTTGAGAGTGGCCTCTGAGTCTTGTTCTAGGGCCTGTGTCCCAGCCTGCCATATTTCATCACCTTTGAGATCCTCTGCTCTCACCCAGATACCTCATGTAGTCTTAGCTGTGGGAGTACATTGGGGGTAAAAACATCAGGCATCCCCTCTGCTGGCCTTTGTGCAGCAGCAACAAGGCCTAGGCCAAGGTCTCTCCCCTCTCTGTGCCCTTGTTGTCTCTTTCAACCATGAGATGGCTTAAGTGCACAGAGAGATGGAGGGATTGGGTAAAACATCCAACAGGACAGACCTGTCGAGACCCTGTCTTAGCCACTGAATACAAGGCCCTGAGGGTGTTACTGAACTTCAAGTCCTTCGTCTATGAAGCAGGGTGGTGATGACAGGCAGGGCTGCTGCAAAGTCTGGAACAACGTACGTAAGGAACCCATCACAGAGGAGCAGGTAAAGGCTGCCTTTGCTGCCTATTCCTGGGCCTCTCCACGGTTCCCTGTTTCTCTTATGAGCCTCTTGAGGGAAGAAACAGCCTCCTGGCCATGTCTGGAATCCAAAAGACTGGCTCAAGGCTCGACTCCCACAGGAAGTGGGGAGCTGTTAACTCTCCAGAGACGGTCTGTCTGTGCAGGCCAGCAACCCGGCCACTGCAGAATGGGTCCCCAGTGGCATGTGGAGGGCCAGGGCTGGGCCAGAATGAGCTTGACCAGCCTGTAATGGTCTGGGGATGGGAGCACATGCTTGAATCATAGGCAGAGGTTTCCCTAGCTGTGGCTTTTACTGGAAACTAACACCCTGATCCCCACCACAAAGGTTGCCTATCTCCACAGTTCCTCAGAAGAGAAGGGCTACATCCAATGGCCACTGAATCTACTGGGCCAGGAGCAGGGCAAGCCAGTGCCCAGGCCAGGGACTGGCTCCCCTGGAAGTGATGAATTCATCTTCTTATCAACCCATCTGTCCATTAGTCCATCCATGAATCAAATGATCCATCCATTCATCCATCCATCTGTCCATCCATCCATCCAAAAATGAATCAATTCACCCATCCATCTATCCACTTACCTACACATCCATCCATTCACTACTTTATCCATCACTCACCCACCTACCAATCTATTCATTCATCTATCTGCCCATTCATCCCAGAAGTTAATCTATCCAGCCACCCACCTATCTATTCATTCATTCATTTATCCATTCATCATCTATATATAACCACCCGCCTACCCATACGTCCATCCATCCACCCAGTCACCTATCCCCTATGTATCTACCAGTCTACCCTTCCTTCACACTCACCAAAAACACTTGGATCTCCCCCTAGGCTGGGCCCCATACTAGACTCTGCCGACTTAGAGATGAACACGGCACATCCTCTTACCCCCAAGGAGCCCAGCCTGCTGAGGGACCTGACATATGCTCATAGGGCCTATAACTCCAGGGAGAAAGAGAAGGGTAGGTGAGGTTACTGGGAGCCCAGGAAGCCCTTGAGCTTAAGGATAGGGGTGTGCAGATGCTCAGAAGGGCCCCTGGGGTTGGGGGTGGCTGCTGAGCAAGAATAAGCTGATTTGCAGGGCACTCCATGTGGAGCCAGATGTGCCCTTAACCTCTGGGCGGGGCATGCTGTAGAGAGGGAGCGCTGATTTTCCCAGGACTGTGAGGTTGAGAGGGGGCAAAGGCAGCTGAGCTAGAGGCCTGTGGCAAAGAGGGGCCACAGGGTGCTGGGGGTGGGTGTGAATGCTGGCAATGGTTAGAGCCAGGCAGGTGGGGGAGGGAAGGCTGTGTGGAGAAGTGAGCCTGCTGAGGGAGCCACAGCCCTTTCCAGCCTGAGGTCTGCACAGCCGACACATCTGTCATCCTCCCCGTGTGCAGACATGCTCGCCTTTCTATTCTGATTAGGTTATGGGATGCCTGAGAATCAACAGTCCTCGGCCAGCAGCGGTGCCCTCTGGGGCAGCTGTAGAGCAGACGGATGTCAGTGCTGAGCTGTGTCTGACCGGAGGTGCGGGAGGAGGGGCATGGAGGATGCAGGGAGCTCTGGCTGGTCCAGGGGGCATCCGGACCGCCTGCTCACAATCACAAACGTGCTGCTGTCTGGCCCAAATGCAGAGGCCTCTGTGTACATGTGGTGCATATGCATGCGGGGCAGGCAGGAGAAGGCAGCTGGGACTCCACCCATCACTGATTGATGGTGCGTTAATTATACCCATTTTACAGATGAAACAAGGTGAAGCAGCAACTTAAGATTGCACAGCTCATAAGTGGTGGGATGGGGGCACAGGGTCACTGACTTGTAATCTGAGCTGAGTATGCCATGCTACAGGGGGGAGGGAGCTGCCCATGGTGGACCCAGGGAGCATCCCAGGTCTCAAGCACACCCTGGCTCCTGGTGACACGGAGGTGGTTGCAGGGAGAAAGGCCAAGCTAAGAGCAGGTCTTTTTTTTTGAGACAGAGCCTCAAGCTGTCACCCTGGGTACAGTGCCGTGGCATCATAGCTCAAAGCAACCCCCAACTCCTGGGCTCAAGCGAATCTCTTGCCTCTGCCTACCAAGCAGCTGGGACTATAGATACCCGCCACAATGCCCGGCTACTTTTTGGTTGCAGCCATCATTGTTGTTTGGTGGGCCCAGGCTAGATTCGAACACACCAGCTCAGGGGTATGTGGCTGGCACCTTAGCTGCTCGAGCCACTGGCGCCCAGCCATAAGAGCAGGTCTTGGGAGGAGTGGTGAGCCCGGCACATGGAGGGGTGATGGATAAGGGGCGGTGACAGTACTGTGGGGGGTGGGGTCACTGCCAGCTGCTGCCACAGGCAATAGAAACTGGGTCAGAGACAGAGTTGGAGGAGGGAAAGGGAAGGCGGGGGAAGAGGGAGGCACTTGTCTGGTTTCTGTTCTGCTCTGCAACTGTAAGCAGAGGTGCATAATTGGCATTTGGGAGAGCTGCTCAGGCTGGGTTCAATCTGTAACAAGTCTTCTTCAATTTCCTCTCCTCAGACCTAGCACCGGCACCGGCTTCCAGATCGCTCTGTTTGATGCTAATGAGAGGACACACATCTCTCCTTCACTCCCGAGGAATAACCACAGCTCCTCGGGGAGGCTCTGTTGGACCCTGGCTCCCAGGAAGGGGAGGCTGGGCAAGGGTGGGGGCTCTGCTCAGCTGGGGGTCCTAGGGCTTTGGCCTACACTAGTAACCGGGGCTTTCTGCTAAGCCTGCCTAGGTCAGGGACCCCAGCCCTAGCACTTCCCCCTCCATTGCTTAGACATGGTGGACAACAGCCACCAATGCCTTTAGCTGATCAGCTACCATGTGCCAAGGCTGGGCTAGGTGTGTCACAGCAGCCTACAAGGTAAGTCCCACCTGACATAGGAGGAGACAGAGGCTCAGAGAAATGAAGGACTAGCCTGAGATCCCACAGCGGGGACATAGAGGAATGAGGACCTGGGTCTGTGCCCCTCCCTGCTGCCTCCCTCAGTAAAATGACACCATTAGATCCCAAAGGAGCGGCATCACTGGGCCGCAGGAGGCTGAGCCCAGGTGTGTCACTCCTGGCCACCACTGGGGAGCCTCTGTGAAGGGTCCCCCCACCTCCTAAGAATACAGATGGGGGTACTCCTGAGAGAACTGACTCTTGGGTTTGGCCTGAGCATCAGCAGGGTAGGGAACTAGCCACCCGCAGGGATGAAGTCCTCAAAGCACTAGTAGGGCCCAGTTGTAGACTGTGTGACTTCAGGCTACTCCTTTCCTCTCTCTGTGCCTCAGTTTCCTTTCCTGTAAAATGATCTAATTCCTTAGCTGGGCATGGTGGCACAGCTGCAGTCCCAGTGACTCATTTGAGCCCAGGCTTCTATAGTGCACCGTGATGGTGCCTGTGAATAGCCATTGAAGGACAGAGGATAGAGCAAGACCTTATCTTGGAAAAAAAAAA